TACATTTTAATGCATTGTATTACTAATCATACCCAAAACAATCTGCTGTTTATTTGAACATACACTTACACAGAAATCTTTCCTGCATTTGCTCCCCACCCCAATCTAGAACTAGCTTTCCCCCTCCATTTTAAAAGTAATACATAGTCGCTGTAAAATAAATTAGGAAATACAGGGTGTCTCGAAAAATGTATACATCTTTTAACAGCTGATAGCTCAATTTTGAAAATGAAATGTATTTCAATAAACACTGCCTTCATAATGATTCAATATGTGTGTACACATTTTTGGGACATGCTATTTATAAAAGAATAAAAGTAAAAATCCCACCAAATCCCATCACCCAAACACAGCCATTCAACGTTTTGGTGTATATTCTTCCAGATTAAAAACCAAACCAACCAACAAACAAAACCTAGGCTGAAGTCTCATTATTTTTTTTCCGGTTGTTTCTGTTTGTTTGTTTGTTTAAAATTAATGTGTTTACAGACTATTTTAACCAACGGTATATAGGGGGCAAGTTTCTGGTGGCTAAAGTTACTTTTTACCTTTTGTGACTTGCTTCTGAGCCAGGAAAGTAAAAGCTGAGATTTGGGTATGTTGTATGATGGATGAGTTTCTAAAAATCAGAGATGAAAACAAAGTACTTTATATCCTAATCATCCACCTCATAATGACTTATCTGTCCGCAAACCACAGCAGTTTAAATATCTTTTTATTTCACTGCATTGCCAACACAATATTAAATCATCAGATATGGAAGACCAGATTCTATCACCTAATCAGAAATGTTTTCAATCAGCTTTTGCCCATATGCAATTTTGATACATTTATAGTAATTATTAGAGATATAATTTACATTCTGCCTATTCACCTAATGTTTCGTCTTAAATACTTTTTCATTTTACTATAGTGCTTTTTTTCTTTGTATTTCTTTGTATTTCCCCACTCCCACTTTGTTACATCCAACCCCTTGAAGTAAACAAATTAAATCTGGTAAGCATTTCTCTACTTTTTTCTCTATTTTCACCAATGCTATTCCCTATATATATAGATAGAATTTTTCCCCAACACTTTTCCTCATAGATGTGTGTGTGTGTGTGTGTGTGTGTAAATAGAGTAATTCTGTATGTACTGATTTCTAACTCAATGGTTCTCAAACCTCACTACACATTAGAATCATCTGGGGCTTAAAAAAAAATCCATGCCCAGGTTGCACTCCTATCAATGAATAAGGACGTCTGGGTTGGGATCAAGGCATCAGCAATTTTTTTAAAAAATTTCCAGGTGATTCCAAGGTGCAGCAAAATTTGGTAACCATTTTCAGCTTTTCTTTCTTGTAGTCAGTAATACATGACGGCCCCTTTTCCTGGTAAAATCACATAGATCGATACAACTACCTTAATTTCATTGTTCTGATATAACATGTATGGTCGTTTAGGTTGTTCACTCTGTGGTAATAGCTTCTTCCTGCCCTCCCAGGCTCTGTTTTAACTGTGAATGGGAAAACCGAGAGCCACATTCTGAACACTCAGCTGGGCTCCGAAGAATCTCTGAGGTGTGCTGTTCAGAACCACACGGGGGATGAAGGACTTCTCTGGTTCCGAGAAGGGGGGACAGTGGATTTGAAGTCCGAAAACAAAATCAATTCCAGCGCCGTCTGTGTGACTTCCATCAGTGAGGATGACAATGGAGTCACCTTTACCTGCAAGCTGCAGAGGGACCAGTCGGTGTCCATCTCCGTGGTGCTGAACGTCTCTTGTGAGTAAAAGGAAAGACACTGCTAGCCAGTTGGTGTGGTCTGCACTGCACTCAGGGGTAGCTGGAATCTGGGTCTAAAGAGTATGAGCATTTTAACATTTGCCTGATATTGCCAAATGGTCCTACTTACACTCCCGCAGCAAAACACAAAGGGGCCTATTTCCCCACACCTCGTGAGCCCTGAGTGTGGCATTTGCCAGCTTGGTATAAAGTTTTATTTGAATTTCAAAAATTAAGACTGAGGGTGGCCCTAACTGGTTTGGCTCATTGGATGGAGCGTTGGCCTGCGGACTGAAGGGTCCCAGGTTCGATTCCGGTCAAGGGCACATACCTCAGTTGCAGGCTCCTCCCTGGCCCAGGCCCTGGTCAGGGTGCGTGCAGGAGGCAACCAATCGATGTGTTTCTCTCATATCAATATTCCTCTCTGTCTTCCTCTCTTTCTTCCACTCCCCCTAAAAATCAATGGAAAAATATCCTCGGGTAAGGATTTAAAAAGAAAATGAGGGTGTTCACCTTTTCATGAATATATTGGTTGTTCATGTTTAAAACCTCAAAAGATGAAGCTCTTTGATGGCTGGGTTGCAGGAATTGGTCACCCATTGGTGGAACTATATGGCGTTAGGGGTCCTTTAAATGATTCTATGCATGTAAACCCTTCTCACCCTCCTTAAACAATACAATATATTTCCTATGGGTACATTATATGTAAAAAAAAAACACACCCCTACTTTTAAAAAAAAGATGCAAGGATTTATATCAAATGTATAATTGTGGGTATCTCTAAGAAGTCAGGAAATTATGAGAATAGAGTCATGGAGGACCTGAACTTTATCTGAAATGTATTATTATTATTATTACTTTAAATATGTTTTATTGACTTTTAGAGAGAGGAAGGGAGAGAGAGAAACATTGAACAGCTGCCTCCTGTATGCACCCCACTAAGGATCGAGCCCACAGCCCGGGCATGTGCCCTGACTGGGAATTGAACCTGTGACCTCCTGGTGCTTGGGATGATGCTCAACCAACTGAGCCACACTGACCAGGCATGAAATGTATTTTTTTAATGTACTGATTTGAGAGAGCCTGACGTGTATTAATTTTTTTTTAAAGAAATATGTATAGCTGATGAGCTTATGTTAATTTTAAATAGTTAAATAAAAAGCAACAACTGATAGGACCTGTGGAACTGGTGGAGCTGGTTATGTTTGGTGGTAACTATGTTCTGTATTCAAGCAGCTCCCTACATATCTGAATACCATCGAACATCCTTGTTGGATGTGGATACAGACTTCAAGCTCATTCCAAAGAGCAACAAAATGTCATTCTTCTGAGAGTTATTAATAGCACAGCCTTCTCAGGGTCTAATTATTCAGTGTGCAGATTATACAAGCTCCTTCCTCCCTCCTTCTCCGCCCTGACGTCTTTCCTACAGCCCACGTCTCAAGCATTTTATTACTCTTTTGCACCCTGGCCAGAAACTGCGAAGGGCGTGAAGAGGGGAGAGTCAGCTCAGCCATTTCTCCTCCTAAAAGTTGGAAAGGCCTGGTGGGGACGAGGGGAGGATTATTTGGTGACGATAAATGCGTCCGACAATCGATGGGTCTGTAACTGCCATCATCATGGAGGAAGTAAGGAGTTGCTCGCATGGAGGAATGAAAGGGAGTTAGGAAGCCACGCTCATCTTCCATAGATGCCGGAGTTGCACGACTGGAACACCTCTGGGAGGAGGACGTCATTTCCAGAGGACTGTTGAGGAAATGCACATACGCATTGGGAAATGTGTGGTTAGAGCAAACGTGAAAGTGGAGGTTGTGAGGCGTGCTCAAAACCACCATCCAGTAATGATAGTGCTAACCAGCACGGGGATAAATTCTTTGCAGGCATTATCTCACTTAATCTTCCACAGCAATGCCTAAGGTAGCTATGATTCCACTTTTTAGATAAGGAAACTGAGCAGTTACTTAGCAGTTAAGTAACTTTCCCGAGGTCACAGTAAGTGAGGTGGTTGGAATGAGAGCAAACTGCAATGCCTGCTTTCTCAACATTGTACTGTTTTATCCACCACTAGCACAGATTGGTTAGTGTCACAAATTGGTACAGATTCATTATTATATACTCGAGGCCCAGTGCATGAATTCGTGCACGGGTGGGGTCTGGCCAGCCCGCCCCGATCGAAGTGGGGGTACCTATGGGGCGAGGAGCCGTAGGCAGTTGGCCAGCCAGCCCTGCCCCCCGACAGAATTCCTGGTGGAACTCCCGGGTTGAGGGGACAATGTGCATATTAGCCTTTGATTATATAGGATATTTGCTTCCTGGTTTGTCCACCACATTAAAAGTTCTATTACGTTTGGAAATGGATGCATGTTATTTACCATTGTACCCGTGGTTCCTAGCCCAGTGCTTGGCATACAGTAGTCACTCAGTAAATTTTTGTCAAATGAATGAGTGACTGAAGATCTTGAACACTGACAGTCAACTATGGTTTATCTGCTAATTAAACCTCAATGCTTGTGTCTTGCAGTTCCTCCGCTCCTAAGTGGCAACGACTACCAAACAGTTGAGGAAGGCAGTGCCGTGAAGCTGGTTTGCAATGTGAAATCCAACCCGCAGGCTCGGATGATGTGGCACAGAAACGGCAGCATCCTGACCTTGGAGAAAAACCACCACCAAGTCCAACAGACAAGTGAGTCTCTGCAGTTGTCAATCACCAAAGTCAAGAAATCTGACAACGGAACCTACAGCTGCTTTGCACATTCACCTCTGGACATAAAGACAAAGGACTTTCACCTCTTTGTCAAAGGTAACTCTCTTTTTAAGTAATATACAGCATCGTGCAAAACTTGGAATAGATGCTCGGTAAATATTTTTCATGCCCAGCTGGCGTGGTTCCGTGGTTGAGCGTCAACCTATGAACCAGGAGGTCACAGTTTGACTCCTGGTCAAGGGCACATGCCCGGGTTGCAGGCTCAATCCCCAGTGTGGGGCATACAAGAGGCAGCCGACCAATGATTCGCTCTCATCATTGATGTTTCTATCTCTCTTTCCTTCTCTCTTCCTCTCTGAAATCAATAAAAATAAAAGTAGATACTTAGTTAATACTGGATGATTTGAATAAGTTGAGTCATGATTAAAACCAAGAAAA